ATATAGGGATATCCCTATAGAGCAACCATAAAACATTTGACAAAATTTTATTAAAACCTATGGGGTCCTATAGGGAAAAAACTAATTTCTACATTTATGTGTATTTTCCCCATTGAAACCGATAGCTAATAAATCAATGGTGGATATCCCTATAGAACAACCATAAATCTCAACTATGGGTCCTATACAAACCGATACACCCTATAGAAACACCATACATCCCGATACAAATATCTATCGGTTTGAACAGGGTCTCTATGGGGTATTTTAAGCAGGGTATTAAACTTAACCTTGGTTAAGAGTTAAGCCATTTTTGCGTTTAGAGTGCGTTCAAAAATCCTAACTATGACGTCACAAATACCAGACCATAAAACTATATCGCTGAGCTAGTTATTCAACGTGGTTAATGGTCGTTCTCTTTTTAATATATATTTTTCTCTGTTTCGATCTGTCAAAAAGTTGTTTACATTTGAAATTTAAAATATTTTAAGTAGGTACAATTGCTCTTAAACCGAATTTAAACTTTGTATTAAAATGGTAAACGGGGTGTTGTCAGTAAAAATAAATGATAGGGTGCTCCATATTGTGGAATCTCCATAAGTGGAGGAATTATATGCAGGTTTGTTGTATATTCTTCCTTATTTTGTATTAAACATGTAGGAGAATTGGATAACGTGTATTGAAAAAACTAGTACCTATAGAAAAAGAATATACTAGGTATAAGAAGAGGCAAATAAATTTATTTACACCGGTAAAAGCATAGAAATTAAATATAAATAGAGAAAAACACATTTCAAAAATTATAGGTTATGAACAAGTAAACAAATGTCAAATGTTAGAAACCTAACCATGGTTATATGAATTAACTGTGACGTCATGACTTATTTAACCATAAAAAACGACTTAAGTTTTCCAGTTAGGTAGTAGAAAAAAACATTTTTCTGTAAAAGTAAAAACATGAAGAAAAAAATACTATTCTAAACTTATCAATTCATCGTTCTCGATGTCGAAAATAAATTGTCCCCTTTTTACTTTTTTGACGAAGTTTTCTAACTATTTGGTCACGGGTAATTATATAAACGTCCTCAATTTCCGGATAAACAAAATAGCCCTTCTCGGAAATTCCTTTTTTTCTCATAGCATTTATTGTAAATTGATCACCACAATTTACTATTTTTCCGACAAATAGTCTATCTCGCTTCTCAGCGGGTCTCTCTATAAAGTCGCCAACGTTTGGTTCTATGGAAGGCTCTATTACCAACATGTCACTGTTGGTATCTTTAGACGATGAAGCCTGAAGCGTAAAATCTTCAAGGTCATTTTCATTACTTTCCAAGTCGTTTAAAGCAAATTCTTCATTTAACTCCAAATCTTTTTCAGGTGTTTTTTATTTGTGTTTTTATTTATTTTTTTGGATGGGCGTCTTTTTGGAGTTGGGAGATCTATGTGGATAATAAATCTTGGCTTGAGACACTTTTTCCCGCTTCGATATTAATTTTTTTACCTCTTTTTGTCGATTGATTAGGCGTAGTTTTAAAATTTTCTAGGTGCGTTACAATTGTTTGAGCCCACTCGCGGTCATCATTTTCTGCATTTTCTCTCTCAACATTCCTTGGAATTTTATTAAAAACTTTGTTGGGAACTCCTTATCATTTTCTTCATTTTTGTAATGAGTTAACTCTATTACAAGCTATAAAGCACCATTTTTGTAAATACAAATATGACTGAATCAACAATTATGGAACGCCGTTGTATTTTTTAATCAGGAATTTTTGTTGCAACTCCAACTGCTAGTCATATTTTTAATTGTATCGATTATAATCGATAATTATCTTAAACAATATTTATAACTCAACTAATTTTATACTCAAAAATAATGTGGAATTAAAAATATCAAAGTGTCACTAAAATTAAAGTCAATTTTTAATTCAAAGTGATATTTGTAATTCACAGGAATTATCGATATCAAAGTGACCAGAAAATTCAAGTTAATTTTTAATTCAAACTGATACTTATAATTCGCATGAATTATAAATATCAACTTGAATTTTTAATTCAACTTATTTTCAACTAAAAAATTATGTAGAATTAAAATATTAAAGGGAAACTAAGAATTATTTGATATTTTTAAATGAAAGACATATTTTTAATTCCCACAGTTTGGACACCCCTGGTAATGTTGACGGTTCAATTTATCTACTACAAGCAATTGCTTTAATCTCAGTTAAATTATTTTGCGGCACTGTTTGTTTATATAATACCGTTTTTATTAATAATAGGCATTATAATTAATATTAATTAAATTACCTAATATTTTAAATATTTACACAGGTATTCTCATAAATCGTTAAGTAGGTCAACTGAGTCAGTTAACCTACTACAAATTTGACAATGCGAGAATTTCCCGCCGGGAAACCTTACCTTCTTTATCTCCCTAGACAAATCTATCTAGGTTTATCTCTGCCGGGAAAGAAGCTAAAATTGTTGGTATATTTACTACATAATATGTATATAATATATAATAACGTTTTTATTAATACTTATTATGTAGTAAATATACCAACAATTTTAGCTTCTTTCCCGGCAGAGATAAACCTAGATAGATTTGTCTAGGGAGATAAAGAAGGTAAGGTTTCCCGGCGGGAAATTCTCGCATTGTCAAATTTGTAGTAGGTTAACTGACTCAGTTGACCTACTTAACGATTTATGAGAATACCTGTGTAAATATTTAAAATATTAGGTAATTTAATTAATATTAATTATAATGCCTATTATTAATAAAAACGGTATTATATAAACAAACAGTGCCGCAAAATAATTTAACTGAGATTAAAGCAATTGCTTGTAGTAGATAAATTGAACCGTCAACATTACCAGGGGTGTCCAAACTGTGGGAATTAAAAATATGTCTTTCATTTAAAAATATCAAATAATTCTTAGTTTCCCTTTAATATTTTAATTCTACATAATTTTTTAGTTGAAAATAAGTTGAATTAAAAATTCAAGTTGATATTTATAATTCATGCGAATTATAAGTATCAGTTTGAATTAAAAATTAACTTGAATTTTCTGGTCACTTTGATATCGATAATTCCTGTGAATTACAAATATCACTTTGAATTAAAAATTGACTTTAATTTTAGTGACACTTTGATATTTTTTATTCCACATTATTTTTGAGTATAAAATTAGTTGAGTTATAAATATTGTTTAAGATAATCGATACAATTAAAAATATGACTAGCAGTTGGAGTTGCAACAAAAATTCCTGATTAAAAAATACAACGGCGTTCCATAATTGTTGATTCAGTCATATTTGTATTTACAAAAATGGTGCTTTATAGCTTGTAATAGAGTTAACTCATTACAAAAATGAAGAAAATGATAAGGAGTTCCCAACAAAGTTTTTAATAAAATTCCAAGGAATGTTGAGAGAGAAAATGCAGAAAATGATGACCGCGAGTGGGCTCAAACAATTGTAACGCACCTAGAAAATTTTAAAACTACGCCTAATCAATCGACAAAAAGAGGTAAAAAAATTAATATCGAAGCGGGAAAGAGTGTCTCAAGCCAAGATTTATTATCCACATAGATCTCCCAACTCCAAAAAGACGCCCATCCAAAAAAATAAATAAAAACACAAATAAAGAACACCTGAAAAAGATTTGGAGTTAAATGAAGAATTTGCTTTAAACGACTTGGAAAGTAATGAAAATGACCTTGAAGATTTTACGCTTCAGGCTTCATCGTCTAAAGATACCAACAGTGACATGTTGGTAATAGAGCCTTCCATAGAACCAAACGTTGGCGACTTTATAGAGAGACCCGCTGAGAAGCGAGATAGACTATTTGTCGGAAAAATAGTAAATTGTGGTGATCAATTTACAATAAATGCTATGAGAAAAAAAGGAATTTCCGAGAAGGGCTATTTTGTTTATCCGGAAATTGAGGACGTTTGTATAATTACCCGTGACCAAATAGTTAGAAAACTTCGTATAATATATAATAACGTTTTTATTAATACTTACATATTATGTAAGTATTAATAAAAACGTTATTATATAAACAAATAGTGCCGCAAAATAATTGATCTGAGATTAATTCAAATATACCTACTGTAGTAGATAAATTGAACCGTCAACATTACCAGGGGTGTCCAAACTGTGGGAATTAAAAATATGTCTTTCATTTAAAAATATCAAATAATTCTTAGTTTCCCTTTAATATTTTAATTCTACATCATTTTTTAGTTGAAAATAAGTTGAATTAAAAAATCAAGTTGATATTTATAATTCATGCGAATTATGAATACCTATCAGTTTGAATTAAAAATTAACTTGAATTTTCTGGTCACTTTTATATCGATAATTCCTGTGAATTACAAATATCACTTTGAATTAAAAATTGACTTTAATTTTAGGGCCACTTTGATATTTTTAATTCCACATTATTTTTGAGTTTAAAATTAGTTGAATTATAAATATTGTTTAAAACAGTTGACACAATTAATTGTAATTACAAATATGACTATTAGTTGAAGTTACAACAAAAATTCCCGATTAAAAAATATTTTGGCGTTAACGGAACGGATAATTTTAGATATCTGAAATTAATTTCAGATATCTGAAATTCAAAAGTGATATTAAAAATTCCTGATTAAAAAATACAACGACGTTCCATAAACAATTGACAGACGGAATGGCGCGGGATTTAAAATGTACCCTTTATATGGTATAATTAATAATATAATTGAAACAATGCACTCGTGCTGACTCCGTTTCAATTCGAAAATGTTACCGATGATAATTCTAAAATATTATCGATGTTAATCATACCACTTATTATAATAATTATAAGTCAACACAACAGTTTAAAATATTTTTTTGTTTTGAAATTAGTGCATTTTTACGTATAATTTGATTTTGATTTTGGGTATGATCAGGGCGTAAGCACCATAAAATGAGTTATATAAATAAACTACACAATGATAAATTTTATTAAAAATAATGCAAAATTTCATTTTAAGATTTTATTTAAAATTGGTCAAAAATTACATTTTATTTAAAATGTAGTCCTCAAGCGATTTTATTTTAATTTTGCTTTCACTTCCGACTCCATTTGATAAATATATTAGGACCCTTAGTACATAAGTAGAATAAAATGACTGATCTAAAAAAATACATATTATAGACATTTTATTTAAAAATCCTTGACAAATACAGTTAATTTTTTTAAAATCTGGACTCGGGTTTTTTGTTTGGTTGGTGGCTTATGCCAGTTTGACTTAGTATTTTTAGTATTTAAAAATGGTACTTCTGCTAAAGAATTTAATTAAATACTTTGACATTGTCAAATTAACAATAATATTTACTATTAATAATTTACTTGTCAATTATAAATAAAATAGTATATTATTATACGAGCATATAATGAGGGCTTCCACTGAGCAAAAAAACGTAAAATATATGTAAAATTGACGTCAAAGGTTGTAGTGTGACGTATAAGAATCTTGTAAAATAAACGTCACATAAACGTCGCTGTGATGTGCCTATGTCCGGATCCTGGGCCGTGAATTAGCCCTAACCGTTACGTGGATAAGGAGACATAAAAATTACGTTTTTAAAAGAACGTAAAAATGCCATTTTATTATGGACGTATAGGTTTTGTTTCCACTTGTACTTATTAGTTACGTTTTTTTAAATAAAACTACCACTTTGGAAATATTTTTTTTTAATTAAAATAAATTATAAAAATAAAACATAATTAGTCTGGTAAAAATAATAAAAATAAAAAATACCGCCTAATTAATTTTCGGCCTCATTCTCATGTCCAAATTTGGCCAAAAAACGTTATGAGCGTTGCTTGGCGGTTTGGAACAACTCCTTGCTCTCTTTATCGAAATCACTTTCAGTCAGACGAAATAATTTCATACTGGCTTCTAAAACAAACATTAATAACTTAAGTTATCTAAGTAATTAAGTATATAAAACTTATATAACTTGCCTGTCGCTCGGCGCAAAATTTGTCTCCCATGTTTACTGGTGTATTAACTGAAAAATCAAATTGATTAAAAGACTTTTCTTTAAGTCTAACATTTAAATCAACAAAATTCGATAACCACTAATAGCGCCATCATGGCGATATTGGGACAATTAATTAATTATATTATAACTGTATGGTTGCAAACAAATGATAAAGCCAACTTACCTAAACCGTTCAGTCTCGCCTATGGAGAACAATGCGTTTTCTATCAAACAGCAACAAATAGCAACACACTGTGTTGAACACAGAACAATGGCAGTCGCAACGCAAACAGAGTATGCCTGTTACAGGGCCCCTTTTATACCGATATATCGACTGGAAACGAAATTACCCGAGTCCTTTTTTACGTAAATTTTACATAAAATATACGTTTCTTAATCTCACTATGCGATAATAATAGAATAATTATTATTTTATAAGCGGTAATATTAATTAATAAATCACTCTGAGATTTATAATAAGTCATTAAAATAATAATTGTACCTACTTACATTGGTTTGGTTTAATCTAAAATTATGAATTAAATTTGGTATTTAATTATCTAAGTATACACTCAAATTTCCAACAAAAATGTAAATGTGGCATATATTTTAATGTTTATCATTGGCCAACCTATCCCATTCATATTTATCATGTGTCACATTGGTGACGTAAAATGTACGTTGTGTTTTGCACCTAATACGCTAAAGTAAAATAAAAGGCATAGACTGGACGGTATAGTGACGTGCTCGACAGCACCTTTTATTTTTTACGTAAATTGAACATCACTAAAACACGTAGTTAATGTGCCTTAAAATTGACAATTTTTAAACGTCACTGTGACATCACCACATCCATAATGTTCAGTAGCTATTATTCACGAAGGTTAAGTTTATGTCACGAGCGTAGCGAGTGGCATAATTAACCTGAGTGAATAATAGCTAATTATATGTGAGTAGAATACTATGCTTTGTCCACGACTACTATTGACTTTCAACGGATTTTAATGCAAAAAAATTTATATTTATTATAACTTATTTGACATTAACAAAACCAAAAATTAAAGATGCCTGTGACTATTTTTAAAACTATTTATTTATATTAATTGTAATATATATATAAAATATACCAGTAAAACTGACTTTGAGAATGAATTAATTTTCTTGGTCGCTCTCCAGTCCATAAAGGTGTTGTACACAGATACGTACAAATTTTGGGATTTCTCAGGCAACAAATTCAGGGAAGTGACTTTTGCAGCTTTTGTTATCTCCGGTGGAGTACACAATATATCTTCCTCACTATCAATTTCCATTGTTAACGTATTTTTGAAAGCAAATTATAATTTTAACAGTAATTATTATTGCACCACCGCGTCGTTAAAATTTGACGTTTCAAATAATTATTAGTTGTCAGTTGATTACATGGCTTACTACCTACTTGATAATTCTATTATTTATAGATTATGCAGTATTTTATTTCCAATGAATGTAATTTTTTAGGTAATTCGTATTTCGAAAAGTGACTTCTGTGATATTTTGTTGAGTGCGTAACATCTCTTCATCTTTCACGCTTTGATTTTTTATGTATAATTTAAGCTTAATAATAATTTGTAACAAAAATCGTGTGCTGAATCGAAGTTATGACGTTTTAAATTGACAGCAATTTATGCTAAGCTTGTCATATCATGTCAATGGCTTACTTACTTGAAATAGTCTACTTAATGTTAAATTTTTATTCAATTGCATTAAAAAAACATATTAAAGTAATACTTTTACAAGACTTTTATGATTGGTATAAAGTTAGCTAATTAAAGTGCCTGGCTATAATTGCCTAGACGAACTTATAAGTGCTTGCCAGATACAATCTATATCGTGTGTCCTATAGGAACTCTAGACCCGTGAATAATGATTATTCACTGCTATTATTCACTCTGTGAAATATGACTATCATTTTGCTTTAGAAAACTCATTTATAATGTATATATTATAAGGTAGTCGTGGATAAAGATAATTATGCCAAAAATAATAGCAACGAATTCAAATGTAAAAGCCCTTTTGAGGGCAAAACTTCATTTTGATGAAATTATGCCAAATGCCACAATGGAAGAAGAAGTACATCGCCTTATGGGCATTTTTGGAGTAAAAAAGTAACGAATTTGGTTTTATAAATATTACATCACACATTATTTTCACATTATTCACCAATGGACAACATTTACGTTCAAAATTTTTTTTAATTTCTTTTATATAAATTCTTTTCAAAGTGAAGATTATTATCCGCTAGAAGTACTTTCTCTTCTGGGCCGTAAAGCAACCTATATTTAACTACTTTTTTATATGATTTTACTTATCCAAGCACCACCAAAGCCAAAATTAATTTCATTTTTAACTAAGAATTTCGACAACTCAACTTGACAACTGCACAATGTAACCTACAATAATTTATACATAACCACAATTAGATTTATAACTAGCTTAGTTTGTTTTAATCAATGCGACCAACTTGACAACTGTATTTACCAACCAAAACCCTAAATTTGCAACGTTGCCGTAGTCCAGATAAAAAAAGAACTTTATAATGGTATGAATATCTTAATATTTGCAAAAACAAAATAATTATTAAATGGCAGAGGAGAAGAACCGACTTTGTAACACAATAATTTTAAATAATTTTTGTTTTTAAATTAGTGCAGTCGTCAGGACTTACCAAGCAACATATTACATTTTATTTAATATGTAGTCCTCAAGCGATTTTATTTTAATTTTGCTTTCACTTCCGGCTCCATTTGATAAATATATTAGGAACCGTATTACATAAGTAGAATAGAATGATTTGAAAACATACATATTATAAAAAAAGGTTTATAAGTAATATACGATTTTTTATTTTATTTAACAATCCTTGACAAATATAATGGTATAAATATCATATTTACAAAAAACAAAAAACATTAATTATTAAATGGTTCAGGAGAAGAACCTACAGTCCAAAATTTGTAAATATTAAGATTCCCATCTAATGGAAAATTGTGTGTTCTTATAATACTATGATCGTATAATATCATCATTAAATAAAAAAGTACGAATACGAAATTATGCCTATTTAAAAATTAAAAATGTGACTTGCCTTGTTTTTTCCAACAACCTTTAAACAATTGTTTTAGAAAGTCCCCATTAAAGGGATATTGCTGTGTAAAAGGTTCATTTATTGCCTATGTGACTATGTGACAATTTTGTAACAAACCTCGAAAATCTCTCAGGCAGCGAACTAAATTTAGTATACATATATATATATATATATATACATATATATATATATACATGCTTTATGTTTCCACGGGCGTTATATGTATTAATGGTTTTCTGGGATCTGCTTTATTTATTGCCTATGTGACTATGTGACAATTTTGTAACAAACCTCGAAAATCTCTCAGGCAGCGAACTAAATTTAGTATACATATATATATATTAGGGTGATTCATTTCCGCAAAGTTTTTGTTTTTTTTCGGTGCTCAAGCAAAATATTAATCTACCTATAGAAAAAAAAAATTTCACCAAGGTAGAGCTCTCAATATCAATTTTAAGTACTTGCAGTTTAAATTTAAAGTTTTCCCATTTAAAATGCATGTAAAAAAATGGTTTTTTTTTCAAATTTCTAATGCTTACCCACCTTTGACAATATTGCAAATCGGTTTAATACACCTTATGGGGAATTTCACGCTCTTTAAAATTGCTTTTGAGTTTTTTTTTGTAACTCGCATTGGTTCACCAGTAGGAGTCGTCAAAGGACAGTTTTTGAAAAAAATCTTTTTTTTTTTTTATTTTTTCGAGCAAATTGCCAAAAGTAGTGAGAAAAAAGGGCTGATTCATAAAAAAAAAGTTATCCAACCAATATTTAATGAATTTACTGCCATTTTTATAACTGAAAACGTAAGAAATTGATAAATACCAACCTATAATGTTATTTAGATTGATTTTTTCTATTTATTATCATTATATTTCCCTCACTCATAATGAATATGAAAACAACACATAAATTCATAAAAAAAACAATAAAACTTTAATCGGAATATACAGAAGGTTATGTAACATATTTCAAATTTCGCTTCAAAAAATTAAATAATCTTCATTTATATTTTTTTGCTATTT